GATATGTACCTCTCCGGAAATTACCATTGATCACTTAATCATTTAATAGATACGCTGGCATTAATGTTTCTCTAGGTTAAGGACACATCCTGTAAAACAAATGCCCTCCACTACTGTCAATTCATACATTTAACTTAGTAAAATTTATTGGAAAACTCTAGCTTTCATTGGACTATATACCAGCATTAATATACTATATCATAGTTTGGCTGATCGTATTCGTATATGGCCTATTTGTATTCCTGACTAAATAACTGTTTGTTGATAGTTCTTAAATACTCTCTATAGAGAGTAAATTGTAACGGAAAGTCATGGTTTGCTCCAACTCAAGGTGACCCTTTGCTTTCGTTGAAGTGATATCTTGGAATTTTTTTTAGTAAGAAGGTAAGTAATCGCCAAAGTTTGAATTTTAGGAATCAAAGTATTGCGTCTGACGTATGAATTTTTGTTGGCCCTGAAAAGGGCCGATTTATCCTTGGAAGAAGCAGATCGTCGACAATAATTCACTTGGAACTGGTGTACTTCGTTACTGCCTTCGTGCCTTCGCTTACAGCGTGCTTGGCGAGTTCACCGGGAAGCAAAAGTCTGACAGCAGTTTGAACCTCCCGAGAGGTTATGGTCGAACGCTTGTTGTAATGAGCCAACCTGGATGCTTCGGCCGCTATACGTTCGAAGATATCGTTCACGAAACTGTTCATGATGCTCATGGCCTTGCTGGATATTCCAGTGTCGGGATGAACCTGCTTCAAGACTTTGTAAATGTAAATGGCGTAGCTTTCCTTCCTCTTACGCTTCTTCTTTTTGTCAGTTTTGCTGATATTCTTTTGAGCTTTTCCCGCCTTCTTTACAGCTTTGCCACTCGCTTTCGGGGGCATGATGATAATTCGTAATACTTTGAAGTCGTCTCTATTTCTCAAACAAAAGTTGCTGTGAAAGTGAGGGTCCCATGCCTGCGCTTCCCTTATAAAGAGCGAATGAGCCGTGCGGGCGACCAATCAGGACACGGCACTGGCAACTCAGCTATAGGGCGTAACGGGATTGGCGCGCGGCTAGCCTCCGACC